AGTTGAACACTATTTAAATGACTACTGTTTTTTTTTTCAAGTCTCGTTTCAAGTTTATTTTATTTTATAAATTAGTAAAATTCTTAAATTATTTTTAAATTAGTTATTCTATCCTCGGAATTCCGACTTGTTACTTGGGATTCCGACTTGGAACTCGGGATTCCGACTTGTAACTCTGAATTCCTATTTGTAACTTCGAATTTCGACTTGTATCTTGGAATTCTGACTTTTAATTCGGAATCCCGACTTTTATCTCGGAATTCCGACTTACAACTCGGGATTACGACTTGTAACTCGGAATTCCGACTTGTAACTCGGAATTGCGACTTGTAACTCGGAATTCCGACTTGCAACTCGGAATTCCGACTTGTAACTCGGAATTCCGACTTGTAACTCGGAATTCCGACTTGTAACTCGGAATTCCGACTTGTAACTCCAATTAGGAAGCCTGAAATCACAATGGTGACTCTTTATATTGAATAAAGACCTCCACTAAACTTAAGATACAACACAATTTGTTAACGGAAAAGAAAACAATAACTAGTTACTTGAAAAAATTTATAGAAGAATGAGATTTGCAAACAAGAGAATCTTTCTTCAGATTTTGTATAGGTGCTGATCTTGCAAATCAAAATATCAAAATTATATTTGCTTCAAATTTTTACAAATTATCCTTAGTTATGAAATGAAAACTTCATGACATTTAGAACTGAGTTTATTAATATGCTCACATCCAATATACAGTGTGTAACAGCCAAATACAATAAATTCAGTAGCTCAATTACTGTTCATATTTATAAAAAGAAAAATGACATGCTGCAACTTGAAAATTTCACCTCTGCCTTCAACCCCTTCGAGTGACAGTTGCAACCCACAAATTTATAAAAATGCTGTGATTTTGAAATTTATTGCCAAAATTAATATTAAAAAAATAAATTAATGACTAATAGAGTTTCGTTCTTGATAATGTAAAAAAATAACAAAAACATCAATCTTAATGTAGGAGATGTTCAAAATGCATGCGTGGAACGTCTTGGCGGCATCCAATCGTAAATAAAATTATTTTCTAACGTTAATCAACATCTGAAGCGTGACCGACGTAATCGCAAACGTTCTTCTTCTTCTTCTTATTCTTGAATCAGCTAAATCGGATGATTTTGTTTTGTATAGCATATTTTTCACATATCCCCATAAGAAAAAGTCTAATTCAGTAAGACCAGGTGGTCGTGCAGGCCATTCTATCGATCGTCGCTTCTCTACTGCCGGAAATTGTTTTGGTAATGAGGTGATGCTTCATCGTGCTGGCAACATATCACATTCGCAGGAACTTGTGGGTTTGCTGGACCAAGATATAACGTTGTCAAAGTTGGCACATTATTTTGACCAATGACATTGTTTTCAACTATCGTCTTCCATGAGCTCCTGAGTCAATTTATAGGAATGCATAGGGCAATTTGTGAAAGACTGGAGCAAATATGTGCCACAGGTACTTTTGCGAACTCTTTAGATTCAATACAATCTATTTTAATATTTTGATTTGCTAGATCAAAACCTGTACAAAATCTGAGAAAGGATTCTCTTGTTTTCAAATCACATTCTTTTATAAATTTTTTCAAGTAACCTTTTATTGATTTCTTTTCCGCTGACAAATTGTACTCAATCTCAAGTTTAATCGAGGTCTTTATTGAATATCGAATATAGAATTCCGAGATAGAGGTCGGAATTCCGATATACATGTCGGAATTCCGAAATAGAAGTCGGAATTCCGAGATATAAGTCGGAATTTCGAGATACAAGTCTTATGCACCAACCACTCAGCAATATTATCCACTAATTTATTGTAGAAGGGTAGGTAGATGACGAGGAAAGAGAAGTCACTTTGGCCCTAGAGTAGAGAAGGCTCAATGGGCATAATAAAGGCAGGATAAGTGTAGTGAAGATTAGCCCATCCTCTACATTATATTGTTTAACGAGTTTAACACTATAATCTCTCTATAATACGCTGATATGACAGCTCTCTTCTGGATAATTAATGTTTGATATTTCATGATACACATGATTTTATCAAAATAATTAAGGAATTTTGTATTATCAGATACATATGAAAAAATTATTACATTTGTCATCAAAATAATTATGAAATTTACCCCAATTTCTTAATCAACAATAGTTGAGAAAGTGTAGTTGTTAAAAAATGTATTAAGCGGGTATATTTTGTATACAGGTTGTTTCATACAGACCTGACCTCCTACTTTACAGATACAGGATGGATAGGTTAGAGTTAAAGGGCGTTTATTTTATACCTGTGTTTTATTACCTATTTTTTGAAAGACATGTGCTTTTATTTCTTGAAAGTGCACTATTAGTTTTAGAGAGTTTTTCAGGTCTTCATAAACACCTTGCATATACCACCTACAAGAAAATTGTAATACTCTGGGCCACTGTGTATAATATACTCATTGTAAGTGTTTTATTTTTTAAATACCTATTATAGATATTAAACCACCTCTTGATGTATGAGACCTACATTATTCTGCAGTTAAAAAGAAATTAGAACAACTTTCTGATTCTTGGACATTTAAATAAACAATAACTATAGGTAATAGGTATTCTGTTAATATTTAGTAATGATTCTTCAAACCTTAAATTTGTGTTCGAATGAAGCTAATTAGGTACCTATTAGATCCCTATAGGCATACGCCAGGTCTCTATAGGCATACGCCATTAATAAATGATGCGCATATAAGTCATTAACCTTTTCCAAATAGGTATATTGCGAACATTCACCCACAGATGTGTTCTTTCTTTCTTCATGTTTTGAAGGCAATTCAAGGTCTGGGTCAGGTTGTTGTTTGTGGGCAAACAATATTTACATTCGAATATTATGGTTTATGTAAAATGTTATTTATTTATTAGAACTACCTATGTAGGTTTAAAATAACCAAATTTAAAGATTATAATTTATTATTTATAAAGTACCTATCTACTATAGTTAATTAAAATGTTGGTTAAATTTTAAATTGAACACCTGTAGGTACTAGGTATTTATCTATTTATTTATTTTATCGAAAAGACTGTGTATATATCTACATAATTTTTTATATATTTATAGGGGATACTTTCCTTTAAAAGTAATAAAATATGTTGTGATAACAAAATTGAACCACAAGTGGAAAAAATGAAATAAATCTGTAATATCGATTTTGAGGCATTTGAAAAAGCCAGCCATTTTTTTACCCAAATTTTTTTCTTGGGATTAGCTAGTAATTAATTCTGCTAAATGTCAATTTACTCCTCTCTCTCAATACTTTTACACACGACACTATTGTTCTTTTCTTAAGTAAATCATATTTGAACTTGGAATTCATCTTTTAAAAAACAAACTTATGCGTCTACTAAGTCTAGAAAAGTTATAACAAGAATTAAATTTAGGGTTACTTGGACAACTACTGGCTTTTAATACTGGATTTTAGTACCTTGTACAAGTTACTAGCACCGTGAAACCCCGCATACAGTTACCCGGTTGCTAAAAATGATCAGAGAATTAAATTAAATAAAAGAATACTTTCTCTACTTGAGTACAAAAATATGGGTGAAAAAGTTGTTAAAATCCCTGATAGAAGATGAAGAACATTTCTAGCACTTTATACTGTAATAATTTCTAGTTAATTATGGTTAGGTATAATTTATTAATTATGAAGATATAATAAAATGCCTTATGTTTGTTTATTTTATTACCTATACACGGCCCCCTACCCATAGGACCTCAGTAAAAAAATTTCTCATCCCCACTTTTTAATACTTTTCTTCACGTTTCCTATCATACTAAATCCAAAAAAAGAACAAATGTTCGTCTATGCGTATATGTTCCGGCACGATAACTTTCAAATGAAACACCCGATCGACTTGCGGATTCAATTTTCTTAGATAATTTCTAATAACTTAGAACCAAATCTAGATTTTTATATAATTTTAGTGCTTTAAAAATCAACGTTTTAAAAGTGCAATGCATTTCTTATGGAGCTTAATTATGCACTCCAACACCTTTGCGCCCTTACCTGTTTCACTATATGGATGACTATGCTTGTTAATTGTGAAAGTGAAAGCATCGATATGTTTTTCTATATTGCTGTCACTCTTAAATGTCAAATTATTTAAAAAAAAATTGATTTATTAAAAGATTTTATTTTTAGTTATTTGTTGAAATTCAACGTGGATAAGTGAAAACGACAGTTTTAAGATATCAAATAAATATGTTCTTATGCGAGTAACATACAGGAAGTAACAATACTTTTTTCACATGATATGAAAAATGGACATTATTATGATAAAAAACACTAATCATAATTATCAAATATGATATTTGTTTTATGTTTTTTATGAAAACGCAATTAACTGAAACAACATATTTTAGCGCCATCACAAATTTACTATTCCGCATTTGTTTTTAAATTTTATTAAAATATTTGGAGTGTAGAATATATAGTAATATATACATATGTTTACAATTTTGTTTTTTTTTAATTAGTAATTTTTATAAAGACATATGCACCTTTATGTACTAAATTCTACTACTGGGGTAGAATTACTAGAGTAAGTGTCAAATCTACCAAAAAGTTGGTAGAATAGGGATAAGTGTGGTAAATTGGACTCAGCTAGGGCAAAGTAGGAACAACCAATAAGATGATGCTTTCTTTAGTAATTTATCTCCACATAAATATTTTGAATCGCTATAAATAATAAAATAATTAAATACCCTTCAACGAGATCTTCCAATCTGTCCAAACACCTTAAAATGTATTAAATTTGCATAGTATTTTAGCGTTTGCTACTTGTCCAAGAATACAGAAAATTTACATTAAATTAAGACAATAAAAAATATCATTTTATATATTTTTTTATAATATCATCTAATAATTTAAGTAAAATTTAAGTTAAAATAATCCATTCACAGGTAAAGTAAGAAACATAAGGGAGCAGTTCAGTAATATTAAACTTACTTCTCTTTTTAAAAAGTTTTGCTCTCTTCTGCGTCGTTTTCTTTTTCATGTTTACTATTCAAATCTATATTTGCACTTGATTTCACGAAATTAACGTGCACCAATTAAAACTGTATTCTTAAATAGGTAAATACCTACTTAATAAAGTAAAGTTTTATTTAGTTTTTAAAACACGCAAATTTTTACCGCACCACAAACACAGAGCACGGATTTTAGACACTGTCAACTTAATTCAAACAAATTGTATAAACTTGATACGCTAATTTAGTGTTGTTTTTATTGTTCATTTATAACATTATCATCTCGTCATAGAGACTGTATATAGAGAGGAAGGACTAAGAGCAAATGGAAAAATTGTCGCTAAAACGAAACGTATTATGTTATGTAGGTATTATAGGCATATGAAAGTGGATTGAGTTATACTCGGTGAATTATGTTGGTTCAATGCGCTGAAGGTTGTACAGCGTGAGCAAAATAAAATGCATGATATATTAAAAAAAAATAAAATGCGCTTTTATCTATTTAATTATAAATTAAAGCTTTTATTACAAATATTTTTCGGGACCAACTTATTAAAGGACTAGAAGTCGACTGTTAATTTTGATTGTTCTGAGGTTACCTCGTTACAATTTTTTTGACAATTACCCAGACAGCACACTAAATCCTTTGTATATCTACTGGACATCCCAATATCCACTGAATGTCCAGTCCATGGTGGATATCTATTTTATATCCATGAGATGTAATTTATAGACAAACAAATGTCCATAAATAATAGTAATTACATAACAAATTATTAAAAAATTACGCCATTATGACTAATAGTACCGTTTAGATATTTAAAATTAATTTTTTTGATGTATTCAATTTCCCATAGATATCCACTAAATATATTAAAGTCTAGGCGCGAACGCAAACCATGGTGGATATCTACTAGACGTAATTTATGGATATAATATGTACCTAAATTTCGGAAAATATGTGAATTGATTTAATAATTATTAACTTACTTAAATATTACGCCATGTGATAACCAAGAAAGTATGTAGGTATGGTTTATAGAAATTTAAAATTAGTAAGTTGTATTCAATATCTCATAGATATCCGCTAGATAAATAATATTGGCAATGAACGAGAGCGCAGGCGCGGATATTTTCTGCCCTCACAGGTGCCATCGGCCATTTTATAGTTTGTTTTATTTGTGTCGTGCGCATGAGTTTCATTTGATAATTTTGGATTAAAAGGCTTTAAAAAGCTTTAAAACCTAAATTTATTGGTGTAAAAGGTTAATAGACTTTAGTTAAATAAGACAATGGTTAAATTCACGTTATTAAGATTGTTAAGTAGGTTGTATGCAATGTACGTTAAAATCCGTGTCCTTTTTAGGTAATTCACAACTAGAAATTCATGTTGTTTTTACGACACCCTATTTTATTGTAATTAAGATGGATGTTATTTTACCTAGCTTCATATACCCCTACTTATTTCGTGTGATTATTATTGTTGGTGATTCGGTTTGGTTTTTATTGTTTAATCGTTGTCATAATTAATTAGAAAGATATATTTTTTTACTTTCCTATCTGTATACAGATAAGGAAAGTATAGGAATCATGATTTTTTTCGACCTCTGGTTTTCGACAGATTTTTACGTTTTGGGGTCCCTGATTCCGTTTTGACTATTTTCGCAATGATGTCTGTGTGTGTGCGGATGCGTGCGTGTGGTGTGTGTTGTGTGTGTGTGTGTGTGTGTGTGTGTGTCTGTGTGTGGGTGCGTGTGTGTCTGTGTGGGTGCGTGCGTGTGTGTGTGTGCGTGTGTGTGCGTGTGTGTGTGTCTGTCTGTTTGTCAGTCTGTATCCACCATAACTCATGAACGGATACAAATAAAAACATCACATTTTAAACTTAAGCTTTATTCCGGCATGCTGTGAACTGATTAGATTTTGGGCAGAGTTGGAACATCTGGGAGGGTACTTTATAGGGGTTCATTTTTATATTTTATGAAATATATGTTATTTACGTTTGGAGAAGAAAATTCTTTAAATAAAAGTTACTTCATATATTATTTTCTATAATTTTTGTTCTCTTCAAAATTTTCCTAAAATAATCCGTATTCGAGAAATTTGACAAAATGTAAAAAATAAAATTTTTATGAAGATTGTTCAAATAAAAGTTGTTTGCGATATAATTCTCTATCATTTTTGTCCCATACATAATTTCTCTAAAATGGACCGTATTCGAGATATTTGAAAAAAAGTATAAATTTCGAATTTTAAAGAAAATTCAAAAACGGATAAAGAAAAACACATTAAATTTTAAACTTAAGCTTTATTCCGGCTTGAGGTGAACTGATTGAATTTTGGGCAGAGTCGGAACACCTAAGGGGGTATTTTATGGGTGGTCAGTTTTATATTTTATAAAATATATCTGTTATTTACGTTTGGAGAAGAAAATTCTTTAAATAAAAGTTACTTCTAATATTATTCTCCATAATTTTTGTTACATACAAAATTTTTCTAAAATGGTCCGTATTCGAGAAATTTTTCAAAATGTAAAAACTTCTGATTTTTAAGAAAATTGTTAAACTAAAAGATGTTTGCGATATCGATCTCTATAATTTTTGTTTTTTTACATTTCTCTAAAATAGACCGTAATGGAAAAATTGGAGGAAAAGTATAAAATTTAAATGTGTCCCGCCGACATGCACGTCGATTCTAGCTCCTGCTTTGTCAAAACAGTTAAAAATGGAGAAGATTATCAGCCTATAGCTGTTTAAAGTAGGCAAAAGAAATGCTTCTTTAGATTTTGAATAGCTCGGGTAGCTGTTATTATACAGCGACTTTGTAGAAAAGGATGCGCTTTTAATTTTTTATACAGGCTCTTTTTCATTACCGCTGTATTAAACATATTTTTGTTTTTCATCTTTCCTGGATTCGAACTCATGACCCACACACTCACGATCCGCGCGTTATCCTACTAGTCCATCTAACAATCTATCAAAATATTTACATTTTACGGTATAAAAAATGGACCTAAACAAATATTGCTTGATAGCTGAACAATCGCTACTTTGTGTAGCTATAAATCATGTACCTATTGTAATGTAATAGGTAGTTTTAATTTAAATATTTACTTTGAGATAAATACAACAGTGTATCTTCACATAAATCTCTAAAACTATTTTTTAGGCCTATTTGAAGACCTTGATCGCAATATTCTCCACCTTTTATTAAATTACAAAACTGTGTTGTATTCTTTGCAGTTCTTAGTAAGGTTTTTGGATCTAGAGGTATATTAGAATCCATTAATTAAACCTAACAGATAATTAAAAACTGTATGTGAAATGTTATGTTTAATAGCCCATTTTCGTAGTGGTTTGTCGAATCATAACTTTTTGTATATGTTATTTACTTGTTCTAAGATTTCTGCGTCACCATCATTAGCATTGCTAAAAGAATCATCACCACTCTCTGCGTTCGCCGACATTGCATCCGTATTATCATGATCATTTATTGTAAAAAGAAATCGATGGACCACTGATATTTATTTGAAAAATAATTGTTAACAAAAATAAATATTCAGTGTCGACCACTGAGCGTTTTCCAATGCGCTTTGCACAGGTGCGTGTAAGATCTATAGAGAGTTAGTATTGGAGCGAACAGTAAGCGAATATTATTATTATTATTATTATACATTGATAAAGGCTGAGGACACAAGTCCTATGATAGCCTAAAAACAAAATAGAAAAATTCTAACAAAGTAAACACACTGAAACAAAAATAACACTAAAAATTGAATAAAAATGTTAATTAAACAAACACGCGTCTAACTTATTTTTAAAGACGTTAACTGTTATGGCACCAACAACTTCGTCGCTGAGGTCGTTCCATACATTATATACCCGGTTGGAAAGGAATGATTGTCTGTGCTTCGTTTTTAGGTTTTCCTTTTTTAATTTTAGTTCGTGACCACGTAGACGAGAGTCAGTATTTAACAAAAAAATGTCACTAAGATTTCCGTAATTATATTTAAGTATTCTAAAAGTAAGAATTAAGTCCCCTCGTAGTCGACGATTCGCAAAAGTTGACAAGTTTGACAATTGTAGTCTTTCTGCATATGATGGTCGGACTGCTCCAAAGGTCATTCTGGTAGCCCGGCGTTGAACATTTTCTAAAAGGTTCTGGTCTCGCACAAGAAGCGGACACCAAACTACACCTGCATATTCTAATAAAGGTCGAACATAAATCTTAAATAATTTGATGTATGTATGAAAGGATACCTTTGCAAAAGTCTTTTGAAGCAAATATAACATCGAATTTGCACGTTTACATGTTTTTAGAATGTGTTCAGACCATGTTAGTTCTGACGTCACTAAAACTCCTAAATCTACATACGAAGACACTTGCGACAAATTATGGCTACCGAGCGAGTAACCAAGACGTGGATTATTTTTGCCGATATGTAACACCACGCACTTGTTTATATTTAACGGGAGAAGCCAGTCCGAGCACCAATCACTTATTGAATTTAAGTCAGCTTGAATATTATCGTAGTCTACTAAGGGGTTTCCGTAAAATTTTGCGTCATCTGCATAAAATGCTCTTTGAGACTGGATATGGTAAGGTAGATCACTCGAATAAGTTATAAAAAGAAGCGGACCCAGTATCGAGCCTTGGGGGACACCACTTGTCACTAATCTATCTGATGAGTAGGACTGACCAACTTTGACTCGGAAGCTCCTATTTCCTAGATAATTGTGAATCCATGACAATAATTTTCCTCGAATACCAAATGACTCGAGTTTGTGCTGCAGTCTGACGAAAGGGACCCTATCAAAAGCCTTTGCAAAATCGAGATTGTCAGCGTTGACGGTATATACTGCTTATGTCCAAATGTCAGAAAAAGAACAATGCTTTAAATAAAATGGGCTTTTTCATCGCCAACATTTTAATATTTTATATGCATAATATATTGGTATAGTATACAGGGTGTACCAATAAAAACTCCCAGGCCGGATATTTTGGTAATTAATACAGATATTTTAATTCTGTAAAAGCCAGTTAATAGAGCGCTAAGAGAGCTTCAGTTTTAGATAGAAATTAATTTTAAATAGGTCAATATGTAGATAGCGCTGCGCTCAATATATTTTTTTTTCGATGGGAGGACCTTTCGTAAAACAGTTTCATTTTGTTTTTTCGGCATTAATCATTGGATTTTAAGAAAATGCTTTACAGGTCGATTTTTATTCCAAATTGAACACATTTTTAAAATACAGACATCTGTCATGTGTCAACCCCCTCCCTTCCACTTCTCCAACCCATTAATTTTAAATAATTAATGTACCATGTACGGCTCATCACTAAAAAGGTAATTTTATGGGAAAATCAGAAATATGACTGTTTATTGCGATACTTTTAATTTTAGCGCCCTCT